TCCCACTATTATTATTTTTATTTCCCGTCCTCTATCCTGAAATGTTTTCCTGTCTCTGAACATTTTGAATTGATTTAAAATGAAGCATTCTAAATTATTTTTGAATTAGATAGGAATTTAATTTTAGTCTTCTTCATATCTAGTTTTCCAGCACTGTTTGTTGAAGAGACTAGCTTCCCCCCAGTGGATGTGCTTTCTCCTTTTGTTGAGAATCAGATAGCTAGAGTTGTCTTGATTTATTTCTTTCCCATTAGTTCATATTTCACGTTCTGTGTCTGTACCATGCTGTACTTACTACTACAGTACTGTGGTATAATTCAAAAATAAGGTATTCTGTTTCCTCTAGTGTTGTTCTTTCTACTCGTGGTTGTTTGGCTATTTGGAGTCATGTGTGCTAATATATGGATTTAAAGCTAAAAATAAAAAAAATGTCATGAAACAAATCTTTTTCTGTCAAAGACATTCTTTAGAGTTGGACATTATCCATTATTTCAACTTTTGGGAGACCGAGGAAGAATCCCAATGTGGGCTACATAACAATAACCTGTCTCAGCCAGGCAGTGGTGACACACCTTTAATCCCAGCACTTTGGGAGGCAGAGGCAGGTGGATCTCTGTGAGTTCGAGTCCAGCCTGGTCTGCAAGAACTAGTTCCAGGACAGGCTCCAAAGCTTCAGAGAAACCCTATCTCGAAAAACAAACAAAAAAAAAAGAAAAGAAAAGAAAAAAGAAAACATAGGAATGATGTTCTGTGTGTACTGATAGTCTCAGCATTCGGGGAAGAAGAAGCAGATCACCATCAAGGCCAGCCACTCAGTATCCCTACCGGAAACAAAACAAAGAAAGGGCCCAGTAGTAGATTGCTGAGCAAACACAACCCTACAATCATTCCTCAGTTAACTACCCCCACATACCCCCAAAATTGGGGATCATTTGGTACCAGACTGAAACTCATTAATTTTGAATCTTAGGTAAAACGATGATTACTAAGTCAGTGACATAGTCACTAATTTAGATTCCTTTTTTTTTTCTTTACACATTTTCCCTAACTTCATTTTTTTTAAAGTTTGTATGAGTCTAGTTATCAGTCTTTAAGCATGCTCTTTATTTTCTATGGTGGCAGTTAAGACTAAACCACTGCTAAGCGGTCACTCTACTGCCAGCTCATGCTCCACACCACAGTGGGTTTTTGAGGGCAAGTGAAAGGTTCATTATGCAGATGCTGTTTCTATTCTAATATTTAGGGAAGGTGAAACTGCCTGCCCTCTGTTCCTGTCATGGGCAGCCTTGACACTCTCGCCACCTGGTGGCAGCATATCATAACTTGAAAGTTACTAAGTCTATAGCTTTTTTAAAAAGGACATTGGTGAAGCGAAGTTATTGAATGATACAGGTTTTCTGTTTGAGATAATGAAAATGCCTTGAAAATAGCAGCGCAGCTGTTCACACACATTATGGATATAATTAATACCCCTGTATTATGCATTCTCAGTGGTTAAATTGGTAAAGTTGATGTTTTATGGTGTAACCGTTTAAAAACAAGGACTTAACAATGTTTGATAGCATATAAATAAATAGGATTGAGTAGTGTGGCTTTGGTGGAAAGAAATGCCGTGTCCACTGCTATGTACTGTCTAGGGAGGAGAGCAGACCAGGCTTAAGTCAGTGACTTTCACAGGATCTCAAGCAGCAGAACCTTCATAGCATGACCATATAAGAGTCCCTCTGACACAGTGAGAAGTCTGGAGAACTCCTCACCCGCCAGTTCAGGGAGTAGGACACACTCTAAATTTTTGAACATGGGTATTCTTAGCGGCAGCAGAGCCATTCCTGTTTGCCTTGTCCTCCTTTTCCACATTACCTGAAAACATATGGTATTTCATTATTTTATGTGTATGGTTGTTTTGCTTGCATGCATGCCTGTTCTTACTAAATATACATGTTCTTGGCATATTAGTGCTAGGTTCATCAAAGAATTCTTCCATTAACATTTAATATGCATTTATACTACCTGCCCTCTTGGGTGTTCAGTAGTGTGCCTGAGTCCTATTCACTGGATGCCAGGAACATCTCGTTATGACAACCATGATTTTCCTAGGATGTAGCCCCATGTACAAAGATGTACTGTATCATAAATCATATATCTACCTAATCAAATGCTTAAAAATAATTCTCAAGGTCTGGTAGAGGTCTCAGCAGGGCAGGGCAGCTGCCATTAAGCCTGAAGACCTGGCTTTGACCCCAGGACCCATAGGATGAAAAGAGAGACCCGACTCCAGGTTATTATCTGACCTCTACATGTACAGCCCAGCGTGCGTGTGTGTTTTTGCGCATGTGCACACTTGTACACACATGCAATTTTCAGTGCTGCGTTTTTATTTCTATTTGAAAATTAATACACAAATTTTATAAATTGATCATTTTTCTTTATTAGTTGGGTGGTGGTGGCGCACGCCTTTAATCCCAGCACTTGGGAGGCAGAGTCAGGTGGATCTCTGTGAGTTCGAGACCAGCCTGGTCTACAAGAGCTAGTTCCAGGACAGGCTCCAAAACCACAGAGAAACCCTGTCTCGAAAAACCAAAAAAAAAAAAAAAAAATTAGTAAAAAGAAGATAGCTTACTCTGTGTCAGGGATAGGGCTAGTGCTTGCTCAGTTAACTTTCCCTCTTGTTTTATTTTTCCTTGTAATAATTGTGATTTTCTGAGTCCAGTATCAATCAATCTCTGATGACTGGAATGAATATTCAGTCAACCAGCATATACTTCTCCTGAGAAGTCACTGTAAGAAAGGTTTTGCTGATGTCTGTATAGCGCCTAATATAATTTCTCATGGTGACTAGGACACGACAGTGCCGGGGTGTGGTCTGGGGCAGTAGACTGGTGCTGGAGGTCTTAGGACTTGTCCATCCTCACTCTGCCTTTGGTGTCCTGTGGCCCCCACTGTAGTCAGCTTAAACTAGTAGAGGTAGATTGGTGAGCTGACATCTAGCACTGCTGAGTTGCACGTAGGCTTGCAAAATTTCAGTGAAGAAACTCCTCCCTCAGTGCTCCCAGCTAAGAACTAAGGTAAGGATTGGTGTCTCGATAGTAGTGTCTGCTCTGGGACAGTGCCTCAGTGGGCCAGGTGCTTGCCACACAAGCCCGACAAGCTGAGATTGAACCTTGGACCCATGTGAAGGTATTTTCTGTGGAGCTGGGTTAGTGGTTATGCATTCCTTTGACCTATTTTTATCGTGGGCAATTTTTATTTTTCATTTCAGTTATAACAAACGGTTTTGCTGAAAATAATAGTCAGGGTTGGCAGTTGAGTCAGAACTTGAAATACATCTGCCAGGTCCTCCTGGCTTTTAAAGTTTCTGTTGAATAAATAAATAAATAAAGTTTCTGCTGGGGATTGAACCTGGGTCCTCTGGAAAAGCAGTCAGTGCTCTTCAACTGCCAAGGGATATTTCCAGCCCTGGCTTGAAATAATTTTGTAGCAGATTACCTGCTTATAGTGATAACTAATTGTTGAGCCTTAATGTGTCTCTGGAACTAAGTGACTATTGTATTTTGTATATAAATGATAAAGACATAATTGCTTGGCTTCCCTTTTCATTGTGAACTTGGAATGGTGTTGGTGTTTCCTCACACGGGGGTGGGGGACCCTCTTCCATTGCTTTCATCTCTGCCCAGGGTTGTCTCGCAGCTGTCATTTAAAGACCCTTTACTAAAGCACACATTGTTTTTGTCCTGCTCCTTTTGTGTCATTAGGGGTTTTACCACATGACTCATTGTTAATCCACACCCCCCCAGCTGCACCTCGCTGCTCCTGTGCCTGTGGACAGTCCATAATAGTATGCTTACTCTCCATTCATGACTTTATGTTTAACACCAGCTTTTCAGAAGATTGGGCCAGGCTGTGTGCTTGAGATACAGCTCAGTGAGAGCACTTGCCTAGAGTGCATGAGGCCTGTGTACACTCCCTAGCAATAAAAGCACATTAACCCCCCCTCCACACACACACACCGCACACACACCTAACACATGTACACACATAGATTTTTTTTTTCCGGCTGGCCTTGAATTCCATGTATAGACTAGATTGGTCTGGTGTGATTGTGGTGACCTTCCTGTTTCTGCATTTTTTCTTCGTTGACATTATGTATTCAAAACAAAATCCTCTACTTTTTTCTAGGACTTCTTTTTCTTCCTTCCTTCCTTTTTTTAAAGACCGAGTCTAACTATATAGCCTTGGCTAGCCAGGAACTCTTTATGTAGACTAGACTGGCCTCAAACTCATAGTGATCCACCTGCCTCTGCCTCCCAATTGCTGTGTTTGAGGTTGTGCGCCATCATGCCTAGCAATACTTGAAATCTTATTTGACATAGACTTAAAAAAGAAATTCTCCTGTCTCAAAGACTCCTTTGTCTTTGAACTCTTGATCTTTCTACTTTAGTTCCCAAAGTTCATGTGCCATTAAGCCTGGGTAAATTGTATTTTATATGTTATATTTATAGGGTCAGCCTCAAGGTATGTGTAAACCAAACAGGAATGCAATTATAGTCTTCATCAGTAGGGTTTTCCTTACTGATGTGTTTACTTAGGGGTCTCACTTGGGAAGTAGACCTTGCCGTGCTCAGAGTGATGGGGCAGGGTTGCCAGCCAGGCTTCAGTTCCACGTCTTCTTGCTGCTGCTTTTTGTGGATCGGTGTCTGGTTCTTCCTTCTGTGAAGAAGCCACAAATAGGGCCCACAGATTGCTGAGTGGGTAAGATGACTGCCTGAGCTTGGTCCCTGGGACCCACATGTGGGAGGAATACCTGGTCCTACAGGTTGTTGTCTGGCCTCCGTGCACTCATGGGCTTACACACGTAGCTTTTGAAAATCCATAAGTAATCTTGTCCTACTGCTTACGAGCTTGTTTAAGGACTAAATGGGATACTGGACATAAGTCTATCGGTAAAGCAGTTTAATGTAAGGAATTACTGCTGCTTAACTCTCCCTTCCTTTTCTCCGTAGGTAGTGTTGGTGCTTCTTTTCAGTGCCGGTCCGTCCATCACGACCACATTTGTCATGATGACAGTGACAAGGTGAGGTCCTTGTTGATGTCTGCCACCGTGGAAATGCATGCCACCCTGATTGTCCTGCTGGATTCACCTGTGTGACTCTGGACCTCGAGCCCCTGGGGTGACTTGAGGGTATAATGTTGAGACGCAGAGTACAGATGGTCCTGCTGGTTTATGTGTCGGATTATTGGACTGCTCCAGAACACCTGCAGCTCAACCCCAAGAAGAGGTGCTCCTGCCTAGTCTCCAGGTCCCTGTTGTGTCTCTGTCCTTCCTCTTTCTCTGCATAGGCTGGACATGAGGCTTATTTTAACAAGGAAACATGTGCTCTCTCTGAGTAGTTAGCAGTTCATGTGTCTCTAGTTGGAAGAATCATAGACATTCCAAATTTGTTTCACTTTTATAGTTGCTTATACATTGTCATCACTTTTGTCTTTATTTTTAAATGTGATGGGTGTGTGTGCACGCATGTGCAGGCTTGTGCATGTCACTTTAAGTGTGTTGTAAAGGTCATAGGAAAACTGGGGTGTTGGTCCTCATCATCCACTTTATTTGAATTGAGATTTCTTGTTCACCACTCTGTATGCTCCTACATCTTAGCTTCCCTTTTCAGCTTCCTTCTTGCTGAGGGACAGCTTAGATTGGAGACACGTGCCTCTGTCCAGATTTATGTGGGTTCTGCAGAGTCAAACTCTGGACCTCACTGTTAGCCACTGGTTTGATTTTGGATCTAGGGTCTAATGGCTGGAACTTGCAGCAGTCCTCCTTATCTTACCAAGCACTGGGCCATTCGTGCCCTCTGCACCTGCTTTCTTTTTATACTTTACCTAATTCTATTATGGTTTACTTTTGTTCCCAAAGCCTAAACTAAATCTTGGTTATTGAGAATGTAACCTGATTCTTCAGGGTGGTTTGTGTGTCTGTGTGTGTGCTCGTTTATCTGTTTACTACTTTGGGCCAGAGTTTTTTCTTTCTTTCTTTTTTTAAAGATTTATTTATTTATTATGTATACAACTTTCCTTCCACCAGATCTCATTACAGATGGTTGTGAGCCACCATGTGGTTGCTGGGAATTGAACTCAGGACCTCTGGAAGAGCAGTCAGTGCTCTTAACCTCTGAGCCATCTCTCCAACCCCGAGTTTTTTCATTTTAAAATCATGTCCAAATTAATGGTGGTTTGTTTCATTGTAGGTTGTATTTTGTTTTTGTTTTAGGCAAGGTCTCACTAGCCTTGGTACTGTTCTGAGACTTTTATGAAAGACCAGGGTTGGCCTTGAATTCACACTTCCCAAGTTCTGGGATTAAAGATTTGAGATATCATGCCTGCCAGTTGTGTTCTTTTTATCTCTAACAAAACCTGCTTTTAGGTGAGTTTAGTGATGGGTATCTCTAATTCCGGAATTTAATAGGTAGAAATAAGAGGATTCAAGGACTTCTCTACTTTCTAGCAAGTTCTAAGCCACCTGGGCTATGCAAGACCTTTATATAATATCAAAAATAAAAGGGGAAAAAAAAAGACTGAGACTTGCCTTGGGGCCTTTCTAGTGTCCCTTCCAGCAGATGTCTGTGGTCTGGATGTGTCCGGAATATCTGCTGCTGATCTGGATCAGATTAAATTTAGTTTTTCACCCTCAGTTCCAAAGGCTTTTTCTATTTCCTGTGTTTCTGTGCGTGGATGTAGCTGTGCATGGATGCATTGGTAGCTGCCAGGACAGACCCAAATGATCGTCTTTATTTTGATCAAGAACCTGCTCCCCTGTTGGAGATATGAAATTAATTATTGAGATTTTACAAATGTTTTGTTGTTGTTGGTCTCACTGCTTCTGTTAGCTTGCATAGCATCCCAGACTCTTCCTTTTATAGTCATCCAGAACCATGGGTTATATTTTTTAATTTTCACAGGGAGTTCACTGAAAGAGACTTTCTAAAATTTAATATACCAGAGTTTAGAAATGAACGTTTGAAAATAAGAGTGATAATTGCAGAAAACAATGAAGTCACTTGGTCAGTAGATTACAAACGCTGCAAAGCTATTTGGTTCTGGCTTCTGCCATTTCATTGACAGTACAGAAACCAAAGTGAACTTCTTGAGATTCTGTCTCTCTTAAGTACTTTCTATCTCTCTCAAAATGGTTCTCAGTTTTCAGTCTTTATATGACTAATTTGTGTTTTACATAATTAGGACACCTCTCACTATACATGGATGGAGGCAGGAAGAGAATGAGAGATTTTTTTTTTTTTTTTTTTGTTTTCTTCGAGACAGGGTTTCTTTGTATAGTCCTGACTGTCCTGAAACTCACAGAGATCCGCCTGCCCCTGCCTCACAAGTGCTGGGATTAAAGGTGCACCCTTTTATTTTTTATATTATAAAGGTCATGAGGAGGAGAGAATTTTAAAGGATAATGTTTGGCCAGCACAATGTAGAAAAATCTAAGACTGTTCCCTGCTTCTCCTGCCTACTTTGTGTATACTGTTGCTCAGGGTGGAATGAGAAGCCTCTCTTGTCTATGCACTGATAGCTTATTCTGGTGATTGGAGCCAGCAAATAGTATTTGGTGGGTAGCTAGCTATGTTTCTAGCATTAGATCAGGATACAAGGTAGATAAAAATTCCTGTTTTTTCATGATTTTACAGTGTAACTGGGGAAATGTCAGTTATATATTATATTACATTAACATATAGTAAGAATTAGATAAAAGGAAAGGTGGGGCTAATTGTGTTGGCATAGCCTTTAGTCCCAGCACTCAGGAGGTAGAAGCAGGTGGATGGTCCTCTGAGTTCCAGTCCAGCCTGGTTTACATAACAAGTTTCAGACCAGCCAGGGCTATATAAATTTGGGACCCTGTCTCGATTTAAAAAAAAGTTGATCTTGGTAAGTGGAATGATGTCCATTAAGAGGGTGATGTTACAGGTGGCAACTTTTATTATTTTAGTATTTTATTATTCTTTCAATTTATTTGGGGGAGGTGTCTGTAGTGAGGAGCAGCGGGCTGTGTTCCCACCCAGCTCCTGCATGGCTAGCTTTATACCTGAAATAACAACACACAAATTGTATTCTTTTAAACACTGCCTGGCCCATTAGTTCTAGCCTCTTATTGGCTAACTGTCATATCTTGATTAACCCATTTCTATTCATGTGTGTAGCACCACGAGGTGGTGATTTATCAGGAAGGATCTTAACCTACGCCCATCTTGGAGAGGAGAGCTATAGCGTCTGCCTCACTTCCCTTCTTCCCAGCATTCTGTTCTGTCTTTCCTGCCTACCTATGTTCTGACCTATCAGGCCAAGCAGTTTTCTTTATTAATTAACCAATGAAACAACAGATAGATAGAAGACCCTCCTACATCAGGTGTCACATGCCATAGCATTTGTGTGGAAGTCAGAAGACCACTTGGTGGGTTTGGTTCTCTCCTATCTTAACATGGGTTCCAGGTATCAGTCCTGTGAGGCAAGTGCCATTACCTGTTCTGCCATCTTGCTGACTCTTGACTCTGATCCTGCTTCCCCTGGTCTTGTCTCTTCTCGTCTCGTCTCATCTCATCTGGTTTTCTCCTACCTTACATGGTTGAGACAAAGATTCAATTACCCAATGTTGTATGACAAAACTCTTTTTGGGAAAATGCACACACATCCTCTCAACCCAGATAGCTCATAACAGACCAAAGTATGGACACCACCAAAGTCCAACTTCGTGAAACAATGAATTTTATTGGGGTTTCTTACAGGAATATGAGAGGGCTTACTTACTGAAGCAGTAATGACTCAAAGACATCAGCTTCACAAAGGCCCACCTCAGCATGAGTGACTGCTCACACAGCAGGGAACTTGGTGTACCCTGCATAGCCTGCTGGCAGCTCAGGAAGATGTAAAGTGTCCTTTCCAGGTGGCTCAGTTGGTCTAAACCTCTTCCAGGCAGCTCAGCGGGTTTCTGCTTCTTCCAGGCAGCTGGTCTGGTCCAAGGGCCTTTGCAGCTCAGCTTCTTTCCATCTGAGGGGGACTCTCCTCTTTAGTTGTCTATGCTGGCATGAAGGAGCCTAGTGAATCTGGTTGGTTTCAGGGACTTCCTGAAGCTATTTTTAGTTGCTTAAGGAGCTTCCCTGCAGGATAGAATGTTTCCAAGTACCCAAGAATAGAACTGTTATCCAGTACCCAGGCTGATCTAGAATTGATAATTCTCCTGCCTGTTTCCTAAATAACAAACTATAAGCTACATTTCCTATTCTTTTTCAGATTTTAAAAAGTTTATTAGTCACAGAAGGCATGCTAACACCTAAAAATCAGATTTTGCTATTTGCATTAGCCCCTGACTTTAGATCAGAAGTGAAATTGCTGTACTGGACTTACAGTTTTTGTCTGTTCACCTCAACTTTGCTCAGAAGTCTATGCTGCTTTGTAACAAACCTCATATCATGCATTGCTGTGTTGCATTGTTTCAGATGTGACAGTCATATAGCATTATTTTAACAATATAAAGTGTAATATGAAACTGTTACTGTTGTTGTATCTTCTTGATTTTGATACTACCTAAACAAGTGTCAGTTTGGGAATAAGGAGATATTTGCAGTGAGAACATACCTGACATAGGGAGTATGTCTGACTTAAGGATGAAAAAGAATATCAAAACATTTTAGAGCTATCAAGTTAGCCTGATGAGTTTGTAATTTTCTTGCTCATGAGTGATGTTTAATAAATGTCATTGTTTTTAAAATCATGTTTGAACAACCTAATGAATACTTTAAAATGACTTTCAAATGACTTTATTTTCTTCAAAGAAGTTTGAAAATAGAATTTTGGCAAAATAAGTATATATCATAAGCTTCATGCATCAAAAAACGCCATACACTACTCCTGTTAGCTTTAGTTCCTGTGGATCTGACCCTGCCATGTCATTTCCTTTTTTTTCCAATCATTTATTTTTTAGAATTACAATATAATTACATTACTTCCTACTTCCTTTTCCTCCCTCCAAACTCTTGAATACACCCCTCCTTGCTGTTTCTCAGATTCATGGCCTCTTTTTTT